CCTCTTAACTCTCACTCCACACCATACCACCCTCTTAACTCTCACTCCACACCATACTACCCTTTTAACTCTCACTCCATACCATACCACCCTCTTAACTCTCACTCCACACCATACCATCCTCTTAACTCTCACTCTCACTCATTGTAACATTTATAAAACTTTTATTCAGTTTATTTGGTTGGCTTATTTCATCTCATTAGGTTCTTTTTTTTCATTCATCAATCTTGACAACGTTATCTTTGTTTCTGTCAGTTTTGAGAGTATATTCTTGGTCATCATCTGGTTGGACCAAAGAGTTGCTTTCATAGAACTATCCCTATTTTCCATGGCACTAGCTTTATTTTTAAACTACTTCAGTTTAACCTGCTGATTTCTTTATGAATTTGAATTCAAAGCGACGCTGTTATTCTTTTTTCCAGACTTTGACCACCGCCATTGTCAAGTATATTATTAATTAACCAGTGACAGAAATAACGCCGAGACAGACCAAAAGCGTCACCACTTAATTACTTCAATCGTTTGGAACCTTATTCGTGAATTAATCTGTTGAGGTAAGAATTGTGACTTTTTACTCGAAAATAAAAATACATCGTAGCAAAAACTTTCTCGCTCTGGTCCCATTATACTATGAATAGAGCTCTATACGTACATCGAAACGGATTGTGAATGGATATTCGAAGTTGCCTCATTTTCCATATACTGCAATGAAAAATCTAAAACACGATCGCATCATTGAATGCTGATGGACCTACAGTAACTTGAGTTTTACATTTTATTCACTGCGCATGCGCCAATCTTGAAATTAATTCACACAAAGTTTACAGAAACATTTTCAAATCAAAAAGGAAGATATAAATATTAAAGATGGAAGCCACCACATTCATTGAATTCTGAAATTCTGTTAAAACGTTGACAATTGCCCATATTAAATATACATGTCGTAGGTGCCCGAATGGAAAAGAGGTATTTTCGACCAAAAATATCAACAAGCTTCATATAAGACCTCGTTTTCTAACGAGCTGCGGCGATATTTTTGAAAGCATCACATCTGATTCAGTACAACATAAAACATTCTCGTTTGCACTCTCAACGTTTAGAGCCATATCATGAAATCCATATAGCTTGTAGTGGAAACCTCTTTATCAAACACTTTATGAAACACTTTATCTTTATTATCGGATCAAAGTGAACTTCGAGTAGATCGTGATCGATCTTTCGTTGTTCGATATCTGACCTAATTTTACATCAATTGTTTACATTTATTTTTTATTAGTTTCGTTCCCAATACTTTTAATCATTTAGCCTTTTCACTTGTTTATATTTCAAATAAAATCAATTAGCTTTCAACTTTTTCCAATTTTAAATCTTCAATATTGAAACTGTTTTGGGGTTCTCTATCTCAGGGTGGTTGCACGAGCTTCCTTTTAATTAGTAACTTTGGATTATTTCATTTCATTTGCGGCCGAGGGACACAGCAAGCGATAACCTATTTATTTATCCGTTTTACTGGTAGGAAAATAATGAGTGAAAAATTCAGTGTTCAGATTCGATGAACAAGATCAGTTAGTTTTAAAAATCATCTGCAACGATGGTTAAAGATATATTTATTGTAAGAATTATTGTATTATATTTATTGTAAGAACAAAATCAGGCCAATTCACTGTATATAAAACCTACAAAAACAATTCCATCATTTGAGATATCAATATCCTCTCTTTGAACTCCTGCAGTTTAATAATTGCCTTTTTTGTACGACCAAATCAAAAAACGTGAATTTTCTCGTTCTCTTGTGTCTCAATGCCCCCAGAGCCTAATTATCTACTTTATTTGGAGGAACCGTGAGACGCTTATATGAGGTCATTAGCCATTTGACTAGAGTGCTTTAGGAGAGAAACCGGAACAATTCTAGTACAGACACTCTTTTTAGACGTTGAAAATCACGACAAATCAAACACCGCTAAGTGGATATTCAATAGTTTCAATCAAATGTTCGTCAGTAAAACACTATTAGATATCACGTTTAAAAGACCTCTAGTGGTGTGTTTTACTACTTATATTGATGTGATAAGTGTTAAGGTAAGTGTTAGAATGGCTTAAGGCAAAGATGAACGGCAAATATCTTTATCTCACAATAGACATGTCATATATATGTCATATGTACCTTCTTATATTTAAAGTCCCTATAAACCCTTCGGGGGTTATTGGATATTTTGATTGTTTTTATATAGTAGGTTAACAATCCAAAATATTTTTTTGATTGGATAAATATTCTTTGAGATATAGCGCTTCAAAGTCGGCCTTTCGGACACGCCCAAACGATTTGGACGGGCGCGCGAGAGGTCTGGTACCTCAGTAGGCTCTGACGTCACAGCAAGAACACACGATCGAAGTTTTCAAGAAGTAACACAGCGTTCAAGATTTTAATGATCTTCAGACGTCGAAAATCAAGCGTGTTTATACGGCGAAGAGCCTTGAGCGGAAGAAGAATGGCTACAGGAATATAATTGAGAAATATAGCAGAAAAAAAGCTAATAGAGCCTTCATTTTAAGTTAAAATGTCCTAGACGTATGCACGACAGCCCGGCACAATCTTATAAAGGTCTATAAACTAAAATGTCTGGCAGCCAAAATTTTTCAAAACTTTCGAGGAAATTACTGCTGATTCTTGAATCAAACTAGTTCTGCTTTGTATAGAAATATCAAGTGCTTCTTATGGGCTATACGAAGTTTGAAAACTGCTACGTGCTGTCTTCTTTCGGCATACTA